TTTTTTTAATTAGAATAGAATTGCAAGTGTCAAACAACTAGGCCAGTGAAAATAGCTGGGTCTTTTACCTTATTATAAAAGTTGATTATAAGGAAAGAATGTATTGCTACAATGAGTTATAAATTTGTTGGAGATGATAAATTTCATTCTGACAACTTCTTTTGCATCCAAGAATCCATATAAGTAAGGGAGTAAGGGGAAGTAATATTGATGATTAATACTTTTATTTATAATTTATAAATTATTTAATTTACACAAATAAATATTTAGGTAAGTAGACTCAGGCACGAGGTAAACTAATAACTCAAAAACACGCGTACACTGTAGATTGGAGGGAAATGACAAAATAGTGGCGCCACCGTCACGGTTGCTATGGTAACATAGAATTTAGTTTTAGTCCTGTTAAAAAACTTGGTATTCTCAGATTTAAAATACCAGTTTTCTTAAATCTAAAATATTTAACTTGACTTTTACTGCGTACAAGAAAACTCGACTAAAAAATATTCAGTATTCCGGGTATAAAAAAACTTTTTTTTCAGTGATATGAAGAATATATCAAAATGCATGTGATAATAACCCGGATTTTTGATAATCTTCAATTTATCTCAGTGGGAAGTTAAAAAAATATTTACTTGGTTTTTCTCACTGATTAACCTTATTCGTAGAAAATTAAATTTTTATCTTTGACATTATTTGAACATAAGTCAGCGATTAGAACTATACTATCTCTGTATTATGTAATCAGTACACAAGCTATATAATAAAAGACGAATTTTAGAGAGGGATTTATCATAACATTGAGTGGAGTTATTAACACTAACATCTCATAATATTTAATCCCAACAAATTTAAATAAAATTTTCGAAAGTATAAAAAGTGATTATAATTTATTAATCCCATAAAATTTGTTTATTATTTTATTAATATATTTAAATACATTTTTTAGATGATTCATGTTTTATTTTTGTTGACATTGAGTTTGGTGGCAATCTACGAAGCAAATGCTTGCAGCTGTGTGTATCAATCTCATCAACAAAAATTCTGTGAATCTGACTTTGGTAATTATAATCTATTTTATCCATTAAGACATTTGATTTAATGTTAATAATAATAATAATATATAGTGTATATAAATAAAAAAAACTGAGTTTGACATTTAATTTTTACAGTAATTAAAATGAAAGTTGAGGATATTAAAGAAAACAATAAGGAATCACAGTATTTAATGTATCAAGTTAATATATTAGAAACTTATAAGGTAATTAAAAATTTTATTTTATTGATTAAGCTTAAATGAAATTTATACACTGATAGAAGGATTTGTTAACTATTAATAATTTAATTTATTCGAAATTATTTAATTTATTAAATTTTCATAAATATTTTTTAACATTCAATAAATATTTAAATAAATTCTACTTAATAAATTACTTATTGACTGTTGATAAATATTGCATGCCTTAAGCGCGAAGCACGCAGGTATGCTCTACTCTCATCTAAAAATCGTGATTTCGATTAAAACGTGATTTTTATAATTTAAACAAAAAAAAAAAAATTATGGATAAAAAGCATATTGAAATCCGAACAAAAACAGTTTCACTGTAAAAAAATAATTTTTTTATTTTTTATCTTTTTGGTAAAGTAAAAAACTAATTTTTTTTCTTAATAGTCTTATGAACGTGGACTTGGCGCGATTTTTTTACAGTGAAACTGTTTTTGTTCGGATTTTAGTATTTTTTGTAATTTTAATAAAAATTTACAATATGTACCAACTTAAATCTCGCGTTGGCTGCATTTTTTATAGCAAAAACTATCCCTTTAAAGCTACAGTTTATGTAAAAATAATTTCAGCGCACCCTGGCGGGTGTAAATGCAAGCTGTGAAATATCTTTTTTTTAACTGTAGTTTCCCATCTAATGAAGGATTACTATGCATTCTCGAATTATTTAGTTTGTGGCAGATCACTTTGCCCATCAAAAAAAAGTCAGGATCGAAATTTTTGCGTTGCTATAGTTTGTGCTGATTAAATTTAGTAATTTCAAGTAAATTAATTGTTATAAGTGAATATAATTAATTAATAACAGTAAAATAAAGTATGAATTACTGTTATAATATACAATTTAGGAAAAAAAAGTACCGTAGAATTAAATAAAATTTTGCAACCTCAAAATACCGTTCTGCTTACAGTAAACACAGTCCGGTAGTCTGGCGCTCCGTTGACAACGGATTTGAACGGAACTTGGCGCCGGATTCTACCGAATCTGTGGATACATAATAGTAACTATAGAACACGTTAAAAAAATATTCTTATCGATTAAATAAGATTTCTCAGAAAAAACTCGTTTTTCTGATGAATTAAATGAATAAGAGCGTGGTATTCACGGGAGCTATGGGCTTGATAACACTACAACTTTGTCAAAAATCACTTTCACGATTTAATTTTTTTTTGTTTTATTCCTGAGGAAGTTTATCAAAACCCTTGTGAAAATTGCGTGTCAAAATAATTCCGTTTCGATACAGTTAATTTTTTTCGATTGTCAGTTCGGTGAGTCTTTCTGCGATTTCGGCAGCCATACATATTATTTTTCATAAACAGAATTGAAATAACTATAAACAAGCAGAAACTATACATACATGATGGTATAATTACTAACTGCTTTATCATCTGTTAAAATTTTTCTTTAGTTTGACTGGCAGAGGGGATAATAATACTCGCGGGAAAATTCAAATTAAAAATGAATAATTTTCGTTATGATCTAAATAATTTATGTATGACATGAGCGCTTAAGGCATGCTCATTTGGATTTTCCAAACTTTTTATTAAATCCTATGATGTTAAAAAATCATTTATTATAGTTAATAAAGCTTATTAAATATTAACAAATCCTTCTATCAGTATTCAATTACAATTTAATTTAATGCGGTATAATTTTTTTAGGCTTCTGCTGCTGCAAAATCTGCTCTTAAAAATCGAGTTTTGGTAACCTATTCCGATTCTGGAATCTGTGGAATCCCGTTTTGGCGAGATGACGTCGCTGTTGTTAGTGGGTTTGTAATAAATGAGCAACCACACATCAGTATCTGCGATATGCATATATATAACGCTGAAAAAATAGCAGCTGAGGAGATGAATCTTCGTGAAAATTATATTAAATCTTGCGTTTCAGTAGCTTGAGTCTAAATTATTTACTACAATATTTTTCTTAAAATTAATAAATTTTTTTTTATCAGATAAATCTTCAGTACTTTTTATTATACTATGAATTTATTCTAATTTTTTTTTTATTTCTTACTTCTAAGGACATTATGACTGTCAAGGTAACATTTAATATGACAAAATGCTGGGATCATCAAAGTTAAAAAAAAATTTTTCTTTCTTTATTATTTAAGAACATGTAGTACAACCTGATGTCGGTAATTCAGTCTGGACCAGTGACAACAAATGCCAATTGAATATAGCGGTTTGTTTATTTGAAACACATGTAAAATCCACTGAAGGAGGCTATCAGACAGACTGTAAATACTCTAAACACTGGTTAAAAAAATAAAACTAGATAATTTACTTTTGGCACTCTTTTAAAAAGGATTATTAGAGTCAGCCTTTTTATTGTGATATAGTTCATCTGGCTAAGGAACTCGGCTCTGGACTTAGTTTAAGTAATTTCTGGTTTTTTGAATAAATAGTTTATTTTTATTATTAATATTTTGAGTTACGTGAATTACTTCCTCCTTTCTTTCCTAATGTTAGCATATTATTTATCTTTCCCTGGAATACCTGCAGATCAGCCCTGAAAATCAAAGGGTTTATTGTTTCCCAAGGTAAAAGAACAACTGGCGTTCATATCGTGCACTAACCCAGCCTGAGGAAAAGCTGCTGGTTGCTTGGGAGGCGAAGAGTTACCTCCCAAGTCATTTTTCGTTATTTAGTTTTTTTTTTTAATATTGGGCGACCTGGACAAAATTTCGTGTCCACTGACCACTCCACTGTCAGCTGGAGCGTAATTTTTGTTACAAAGCAAAGTAATAAAATGACTTTGGTATTTATTACTTGCCGGAATAAATAAACAGATTTGGCAATAGCGCGGTTGATTGTACCCATAACCTGTAGACGTGGATGAGTGTGTGAGTTAAACATTTCTCTCTCTGTAACTATATTTCTATCCTTTTGTTTTTTCTCAGCTGTTGACGCGATGTTGTCAAATGTTTATTCGAATAAATGGCTGACGATAAACCAGTTACAAACATTAAATTTGACTTTAAATATTTCAACAAATTATATCGGTAATGTATTATTATTAAATTGTTTTTATATTTTGCAATAATCCAACGTTTTGCGTGTATAGTTTTTTATCCGTTAAAGTTGGGAGGTTAATATTGACAAAAAATAATTAAAGTCTCGACAAAACGTTTGTCCGCCATAAGAGCCCGTGTATAGGGAGATAAAATATGTGATTTTTAAAATTTAATATCTAAGTAACTAAACGGTGAATCTTTTTTAAATTTTGGGATTAGGTAAATAACGTATTTATTTATACGTATACTTAATTTTAGCAAAGTTTGAAATTATTTTTTACATAAGATTCGCTCGAACCTCCTTAATTATTTTAAAAATAATTGAATTTAAGAATTTAAAAAAAGCCCAAAAAAAATTGGATAATTCCAATGATGTAGAATTCATTACAAAGATTTTTATTGACAAAATATTATTCTATATAAGTATGTTATAAATAAGACGGAAAATTTTTTGACCTTGAAATATTAATTGAATCACTATTTAAAATGTTCTGTGATATTGCGAGAGCTATAATAAACAGTTCAAAGAAAAAAAAACAATTTTTATTTACTTTTTCCTACTAATTGTCCTTGTTCGTATAAAAATAAATTTTAATCTTTGACCTCTTCTGAACATAAGTTTGCGATTAGAACTAATATCTCTATATTATGTAATCATAGCACAAGCTAATAAAAGCTGAATCTTAGAGAGTGATTTATCATAACGTTGAGTGGATTTATTAATTAACACTAACATCTAATATTATTTAATTCCAAGAAAGTTTAACAAGATTTTCAAAAAAATAAAAAGTGATTATAATTTATTAATTCTATAAAATTTATTTATTATTTAAATAAATTTTTCAAACTTTTTTAGATGATGCGTTTCTTATTTTTTTTGACATTGAGTTTGGTGGCAATCTACGAAGCAAATGCGTGCAGCTGTGCGGCTTTTCCTCTTCAACACTTATTTTGTGAATCTGACTTTGGTAATTATAAATTTTATTCATTAAAAAATTCAATTTTATATTATAAATAAATAGAAAAAATTAAGTTTGATATTTAATTTTCACAGTAATTAAAATGAAGATTGATGATCTTCCAGAAAATAAGGAATCATCATATTTAATGTATAAAGTTGATATATTAGAAACTTACAAGGTAATTTATAATTTTATTTTATTAATTAAATTTATAATTATAATTGAGTGCAATTTTATTTAATGCGATGTAATTTTTTTAAGGAGTCTGATGCTGCAAAATCTGCTCTTAAAAATCGACTTGTGGCAACTAATCTCGAATCTGGAATCTGTGGACTTATATATAAGCAAGGTGACGTTGTTGTTGTTGGTGGGGGTATAATGAATGGGGTGCCACACATCAGTCTCTGTGAATTGCATATAGAAAACGCAGAAAAAATAGCAGCTGAGGAGACTAATCTGCGTGAAAATTTTATTAAAACTTGCGTTTCAGTAGTTAATTAAAATTAATGAAATTTTTTTTATCACACGCATCAACCGATTTTGTTGAAATGACAAAAGACGGGATAACTGAAAAATATGTTGTGTTAACAAATGAGTGTAGTTATAGCAACAAATCCATTAGTTGCATTAACAAAATATTTCAAGTTGTACTAACAAACCAGTTTGTTAAATCACAAAATCAATTTGTAGCTCCAACAAAATTGCATGCCCTAAGCGCGAAGCACGCAGGTATGCTCTACTCTCGTCTAAAAATCGTGATTTCGATTAAAACGTGATATTCATAATTTAAATGAAAAAAATTATGGATAAAAAGCATATTGAAATAAATAATAGTAACTATAGAACACGTTAAAAAAATATTCTTATCGATTAAATAAGATTTCTCAGAAAAAACTCGTTTTTCTGATGAATTAAATGAATAAGAGCGTGGTATTCACACGGGAGCTATGGGCTTGATAACACCACAACTTGGTCAAAAATCACTTTCACGATTTAATTTTTTTTTTGTTTTATTCCTGAGGAAGTTTATCAAAACCCTTGTGAAAATTGCGTGTCAAAATAATTCCGTTTCAATACAGTTAATTTTTTTCGATTGTCAGTTCGGTGACTTTTTCTGCGATTTCGCCAGCCATATATATTATTTTTCATAAGCAGAATTGAAATAACTATAAACAAGCAGAAACTATACATACATGATGGTATAATTACTAACTGTTTTATCATCTGTTAAAATTTTTTTTTAGTTCGACCTACAGAGGGGATAATACTACTCGCGGGAAAATTCAAATTAAAAATGAATAATTTTTTTTATGATCTAATTAATTTATATATGACATGAGCGCTTAAGGCATGCTCATTTAGATTTTCCAAACTTTTTATTATTTTGTTGCTGTTACAAAGTGATTTTGTTGCAATACCAAAACTAATATTAGTTGCCAAAATATTTTCCAAATCAGCTATAGCTGATTATAGTATATTTTTAAATGTATTCTCATAAGATTTACTGTAACAAATTTATTTGTTATTCCAACAAATTCTAATTGTTATTATTATAAATTCTCTTTATTACTTCAACAAATTGTTTTTGTTACTCCAAAAAATTCTTTTTGTTATTTTAATAGAATAATTTTGCTGTTTAAACAAAAAAAATTTTTTATGCTAGCTAAAGTATCGTCGAATTTTATCGAATCAACTTAAAAATTTTGGTATAGTAAGACAACTGTTTTGTTGTTATAACATATCAATAACTTTGTTATAACCTAAATTTTGTTATTTTAACATATAATTTGTTATCCCTATGTTAACAAATTCATTTGTTACCACAACATATCTTAGATTATTTGAACAAAATTTTTTTCTGCGGGCAGGTAACTTAATTGCTATATAAATTTTGATAAAATTTTTGAATTTTATCAAATGATATTGTTGTTCCTCGTTATTTTCAATGAAGGAATTATAAATTAAACTAGAAATAAATTTATCGAGCTCTTTTATTTTTAACAATTAACATTAAGAACATATAGTACAGTCTAATGTCGGTAATTCAGTCTGGACCAGTTACAACAAATGCCAATTGAATATATCGGTTTGTTAATTTGAAACACATGTAAAATCCACTGAAGGAGGTTATCAGACTGACTGTAAATACTCTAAACACTGGTTAAAAAAATAAAACTAGATAATTAACTTTTGGCACTCTCTTAAGGCCTACATCAAAGTATAGTAAATGAAATTTTTTGTTGATAATTAGTTTTCTACCCTAACCTAGCTGGATTTTAATAATTCTGGCTTGTAAGTAATCTAAACTAAAATAAAGAATAACCAACAAAATTAAATCAATCTCTCCGATTATATTGGTTGTACGTTTATTAGTAATTTCTTTATAGTAAAGTTTATTTAGTTGAATATGTGATGGGTCCTGAGATAAGGCAGTTTTATAAGCGAACACTACCTATTTATTTATCATTTAGTGATTTTTTTTCAATGATTAAATTTAAAAATAGAATCAATTTACGAAGGACTATTATTTAGGTACTCCTCAAAAGTCTGATGATTTTTTATTCAATAATTACTTGGTCAAGTGTCCCAGTTTGTTCAAAATTTAAATATTCACATTAAAAACATGTAGAACAGTTTTTGACTTTTTACGAAATATTTTTCTTCTATAATTGCTCATTGCAACATGTGTAATATACCTTATAAAATACATTATTGTATCTTTTTTGTATCCTCATAATTGGCCTTACAGGCTGTCAGGATTTATTAATAAAGAAATAAATAAATAAATAAATTCAAATTTATTCATTAAAAAGTTATTGCGACTTAAAAATCAAAAAAAATAGTTTCCTATGAAACTTCTAGTAGACTTTTGAGCTCGAAGAGCTCAAAATAACACATAAATTGTATTTTTGAGCTCGAAGAGCTCAAAAACATCATGGAGAACAAAATTCTTGGCTCAAGAAAATTTGTCGAATGCCTGAAGGAAGATCGAAGTTGTGTTGGCTGAAGTTAAAATTTTTCTTTAAATTCTATTCTTGGTGAGTCATTTTTTCTTAATTCTATCATATATACTTGATACAATAAATTTTTATATTTGATCAAGATTTTTAGATACTTTAGGGAAGCAGCGCCACCTACTTCAGCTGAGAAAAAAAATTTTCTCACCTAGAGAAAATTTTTCTCGAGAATATTTGATACCCATTTTATATTATTATACCGTGCAATTATACATATTGGATGAAAAAAAATGATTAAATATTATTTGATCTTCCCAATTGACATATTAATCAATAAAAATATTAATGAAAATTAACATCTATCTTTATATTTAATTTTTTGGAGCTCGAGGCTGAATTTTCTCTTCACAACAAGATTTTCTTGACTTAAATAAATTTTCATGGATCAAGATACTCTTAAAGCAAAAGAATTAATTTTGATGAAATAAGTGAAATTTCTTGTCAAAAAAAATTTTTTTTGCTCAAGAAAATAATTAGTAAAATATTTTCTTGGCTCAACTGAACCTTTTTTTCAGTGATTTCTTTTGATGTTTACGGCGTATATTTAATAACCTATTGTATAAAAAATAAAAAAAAATCAAATTTTCAACCAATGAAATCTAGGTATGTAAATAGTGAGTAAGCGAAAAGAGCTAGCTGGTAGTCTGTTTATGGCAGGTTCTCCGTTAAAACCCGGTCGCATCTTTATTCCGTATTTTCCTCAGAGTCTTATTGGTTTATTTGTAAGCATACAACTGCAGTACACTTTCTCATGATGAAAAGCAAGAACTTAAGTCTGAGAAAACAGGAATTAGAGAGTATGCTCCAATACACAAAGGTAAACGTAATCTGCTAAGCTTTTCACATCTTGGTGAAAACAATAATTTGTATTTCTCACCGTGCTCGTGCTTGATGTTCACATTTCACCACCCTTTTTGAAAAGAAACTCACAAGCTGCCTTTTGGTATCTCGGGAAATGATAAAAAGAGAAAGTTAATGCTCAAGATTAAAGTTTTCCGGTTTCTGTCTTTTTTGTGTATGAAGAAAAGACAAAGTTGAACGAAAAAACGAATTGAGATACTTTAGGCCATGGTTTATGCTGAGGCACAATTCTCACAAATCTTGATGTAAGGCAAAGTCGTAAACGTCTATTATATAGGGAACATACGAGAGGTGAATATACCTAACAGACTTTGGGTTGAAATAGTACTGTGTACGTTATTAAGCGTACTTAATGGGCAACCTCGGAAAGAACCTTCGATAAGATTCTTTTCTTTTATTTTTTTAGGGCTTCTACTGTTATATTTAAGTACTGAGTAACGAGGTTGGTTATTGAAGTAATCAAAATTTTATTTTTATTGAGTTGGGAATTTTTTATAATAAATGTATAATGAATTGGGATATTTTATTTATTAAGGTTAGTGGAATAAAAAAATTTTTATAGGAAATATAGTATATTTCTTACGACATACTAAAAGAAAAATATAGTTCGCTGAACTAGGAAAATCTAGTTAAATAGCATCACCACTATTTAATTGAAGTTCTTATACCTAAAATTATTTATTATATTGAATCCCAATAGTTACTTAAACTATTTTTAGTTAAATATCGGCTCAAAAGTAATCTTGATTAACTTTAACTCAGAAAACAGAAAAATAATTCGGACAGCCCGGACCGGGAATCGAACCCGGATCTTTTGGTTACGCACCAAGGGCTCGGACAGTTAAGCTATCTGAGACATCGGTTAAATAAGGCAGTCAGAAAGAGAGTAATCTGCGACAGATGATCCTTCAACCACTTAAGATCCAGCTCGTCCGGACTGTTACCTTTAGATTTTGATAACGTTAGCTGGAGATTTTTTGTCACATCAACAATATCTAACTTTGACCAGTTGAAGACACAATTTACTTGTTTTGTATGATGATTGGGTAGATCAAAGACGAAATTTTTGTCACATGACGGGTATTTGGTAACAGTACTAGCGTAGAAATTATTCAGTAAATTCGCATCAAAGTGATCCAGTGGTGAAGACTGCCTAGGTTTAATAATTCCTAGCTTTTTCAGCTTGGACCAAATGTCAGAGCCCTGAGCACTTTCCTCTAAAACATTTTTAAAATAATTATCACGTGCATCACATATCTTAATTTTTAATTCGCTTCTTAGTTTTTTATATAAGGATAAGAGATTTAAATTCCCTGTTCTGCGAGCTTGCTTATAAATAGTATCACGATTATGTAACTCCAGCTTGAGGTCTTTCGTCAGCCACGGTGTTTTTTGACGATATAGTTTTCTCTCCGTAAACGGCGCAAATTCATTTAATGAATCGATGACTGCAGTCAGAAAGATAGAGAGGTAAGTTCATTAGGATCTTTATCATCAATGTCCATATTACGAAGATCTAATCGCTGACTAAGAGCCTGGGAGAGCGCTAGATGATCACAGCGTTTGAAATCACGAAACTTTACTATTCTTTCATTATTATTTGGAGATGTTAACTTATAATCACAAAGTAGATAATCGTGGCCGCCAATGAACGGGCTGGCGGACTTGGAAAATTTATCAATCTTGTCCTGACTATCAACAATGATAACATCAAGCCAAGAATCTACTCCATTTTGATGATATGTCGCACCATGGGGTACACAATATAGAGCTGAATCAGTAATGAATGACTTGAGATGTTGCGATGATTTATCACTCTTTAATAAATTTGAATTTAGATCTCCCGTGATAATAACATTTCTATAATGTGGATAGAATTTATTAAATTCAATAAAGAAATTATTTAGTGGCTCACCTTGAGGCCTTCTATAGATGGACGACAAAAGAATGTGTGATCCGACTGCTGGAGAGATGTCTATTATTAAGAACTCAGGATGATTTTTATGCTGAGAAACTGACGAATAGAGGACCTGTGACTTCAATGATTTGTGAATGAAACAGGCCACACCACCACCTCTGATAAAACGTCCGGCATCATCAATGAGTCCTCTATCACGACGAATGACAGTGTAATTATCAAAAGATATTTTGAAATCTGGATTTAACCAAGTTTCTACTAGTGTAATTATATGCGGTTTAATGTCCGCAATTAATAATTCGAATTGCGGTAGATGAGCTAAATAGCTATTTATATTAAGTGTTAGTAAAGTTAAGGTTGAAGTAGCAGTTGAAACAGGAGTAGATTTGTTTGATGATTGTTATGATAAATTATTTAAGTCATCTGAGGACTTAATTACAATTTTTTCGGATCTATCATCTTTTTTTAAATATATTACACCTTTTAGTGCCCAGGCATATTTGTAATTTAAGTTTTTTGCCTTTGCTTTAGCGCACATCAGCGCTATTTATATATAAAAAAACGAAAAAAAATTTACATTTTTTTCAGCTTTTATACACAAAGTTTGTTTTTTCAAATTTATTAAAAAATATATTCATACCACTATGCAAGTGAGAAGTTTAGGCTATCTTTCGCCACCTAGCGGTGATCGCGGAACTATTTTTGTTATATTACTATATTATTCTTTACTGCCGCTAATTAATAAAATTCTTTTCAATTACAAGCTTGATGTCGTCTCAGAACTTAATAGATTATTATATAAAAATTGATGAATATAATTTTTTAATTAAAACTCTATTGAAATCGTGGCTATATCAGAATTCAATCGATGTCACCCGAAGCCTGGATCAAGCTATTATAACCAGCGCCAAAAAAGTTTCCGATCGATTGTGCGAATCCGATTGCGTTGTTTACTGATGATAATGCATAATGTTCTGGGTCTACCGTGTATTCTGGGTGTATATACTGGGGGTGAATACAGGAAGGAGCCAATATCATCATCGCAAGCTCCATGTAAACTCATCAACGCCGTTCGGTGACGAGATGCTCTGTCCTCGTGCTGGTGTCTGTGTAGAAATTTAATCGATTAATTTCGATGCTAATTCTGTACGTGATTCCTCGTGAACCATAGCTTTACAAGCAATCCTGTTGTTTTACTCACTGGAGAGTGTTTCACGGTGCAATGCCCTCTGCTCAGTCTGATAATTATTTAGTAACGCTTTTCTCGATTATTTAATCTATATTGTATACTGTGATCTGATAAGTATTTGATTTGATGCTTCGCTTGCTTTATTTAATACCATTTTCATCCCCAGATATTTGTTCGCAGTAACAACCATCGAAAGCACATTAATTTATCGATTTTCTGTTAAAAAATTTTTCAATTATAACTGGGATAAAAATTTTTTTGTAAATATATTTTTATTTAATTTAATGAATTTTTATAAAATTTTAGTAACCTTTATAATAAGTATTTAGGCTGAATTCGAAAATGCTCTATCTCTAGATACAAAATTAAGAAATTACCTTGTATCTTGTAAACTATCGACATTTTTAAAGATATAAGCTCACCGCTACATTACAATCATTGAGATCTTTCATTTGAGTACCCACATCAATTTTTCATATATTTATATATATTATATATATGTATATATGAAAATATATAAAAATGCATGTGGGTACTCAAATAAAAGCTCTTGACGAGTGTAACATCAAGATGAGCTTATATCTTTAAAAATATCAATAATTAAGAAATTACCTTGTATCTTGTAAACTATCGACATTTTT